TATATATATATATATATATATATATATATATATATATATATATATATATATATATATATATATATATATATATATATATATATATATATATATATATATATATATATATATATATATATATATATATATATATATATATATATATATATATATATATATACACACAATTGTGCCACTGTGAGGTCAGCCGAACCCAGAGGGTCCCGTGTTAAGTGAAATCCGCGTTAAGTGAACAACAGAACATATGGGATTAATTCCAATAGAAACCGGCCCGACCCCCAAACACCACTTTTTGAAGACACATAACTATGTTGTAGTAAAAATAACATCTTAATTTTGTGATGGTACATGCACACAATTAATACTTAAGAGAAATAGAGAAATACAGTCGCCAAGTTAATGTCCATTCAAATAATGGACTCGACTCCCTCCCCCTCTTCTCACACTACACTGCTGGCTCTTCCCTCTCTGAGAAATTTTTGGGGGAAACCACTAAATTTGTATGAATTTTATGAGCTAAAACAAATATCTTCAGTTAATAAAAAAAAAATATTCTTCAGGACACTATCTGTCAATCAAAGTACCCCACCTTGCCTCCCCCCTCTTCCAACCGCGCGGTCAGTCCCAACCCTCCCCCCCACCCCCCACCAATCGTCCCTTCAAGAGAAGAGTGGGTGAAAAAAATAAATTTTAACATTTTGTATTAAATAATACCTCAGATTAAAGTTAGGATAATATAATTGACATTGCTGGATTCCTTGTAAGACCAGGAATATTTTGAATATAAATGTCATATATTTTGCACAAAAGATAACATATTTACTAGAGAAAACATTTTATCTAAAATTTGTATGTCTAATGCAAAATATATGTTTATATTCAAAATGATCATCAAATTATAAGAATTCCAGCAATGTAAACTATATTCTGACCGGGTAATTTGTATGAATTTTATGAGCTAAAACAAATATCTTCAGTTAATAATAAAAAAAAAATATTCTTCACGGGGTAACAGATGGTCGGTCGGACCCTCCCTCCCCCCCCCACCCCCCACCAACCGTCCCAAGGAGATGTGTGGGAAAACCACTAAATTTTAATAAATAATACCTCAAACTAAAGTTAGGATAATATAATTGACATTGCTGGATTCCTTGTAAGACCAGGAATATTTTGAATATAAATGTCATATATTTTGTACAAAAGATAACATATTTACTCAGAGTAAACAAAATACTTACATTAGATCTAAAATTTGTATGTCTAATGCAAAATCTATGATGTTTACTTTCAAAATGATCATCAAATTGTAAGAATTCCAGCAATGTAAATTATATTCTGGCTGTGCACTTGTATTTTAATTTTATGAGCCAGCAGGCAAATACAGGGTATGGGGTATGGTAAGCAAATTAAAATAAAGGCCTTCCTTGTTTGGGACACTCACCACATATGTGAAAAAAAATCCGGTTAAGGAAAAGTCTATTTCATAGGCAATCAGATATGATAAAACGCTAAGTATGTAAAAACCAAGTAGGCGGGCATTGTATATATATATATATATATATTTTTTTTTTTACAGGCATTAGCCCACCCGGGTATAGGGTAATAACAACACTGTAATAATAATAATAATAATAATAATAATAATAATAATAATAATAATAATACTGTAATAATAATAATAAAGGACTATAAAAGAAATACATAAATTAAAAAAAATATGTCTGTTGTGTTGTCAATAGTAAGAGAAACAATTGAGACCCTGCAATTGTGTGTGAATGAGGCAGAAAGTCAGATCATCAACCTGGGACTTGGTCATATGGCAGCAGGGTCTACAACACATTATGCTTCCAATATCTTCCCAGTACCTCCCTGTTTGGTAGCTACCTACTATATAGGACTTGTACAGTATTGTCTTCTTCCTACCATATAGATTGTTCTTTTGTTTATTGTCATCATTTTAATAAGAATGGTGATATTTACATTGATCATTACTGGACTGTGCATTAGTATTTAGAAAAGTATATCAGACGCTGCTTACCAATTAATGTGAACTTATTATTGAGCAATATATACCACCTCTGACCTACCATATAAAGCTTCTTGTTGATGTTTGAATAGTATCAAATATTTGTACCTGGAAATCATAATATGTTTATGCCTCCACCTCTGCCTCTCACAAAAGTCCTTATCCTGGTGCTTGATTAAGGATCCCCCTAAAAGTTGGGTTCTACTCAAACCATCAACTGAAGAATTTGGAGCCCATTCTGAATAGGTTTTCCCTGTCAGTCATGCTTGCTGCTTTAGTGAACAACCTTAAAACACTGTCCTACCCTCTCAACCCCTGTCTCAATTTTCTACCCTCTCGGTTATCCTTTTCTCCCTGACCTCAACAGGTGATGCTGTAGCTACACCGTTGCCTGTGTTCCCATTGAAATAATTCACTCCACCACTTACATTATGGACGTGTTTATTATTTTCAGTAGTGTCTCCATGATGCTGTGTACTGGACAACACACACTTAATTCACTGTCTATGTTAGGAAGAGAATCCTTGTTAAATTAACAACTACACTACACTACACTACACTACACTACACTACACTACACCACTACACTACACTACTACACTACACTACACTACACTACACTACACTACACTACACTACACTACACTACACTACACTACACTACTCTACACTACACTACTACTCTACACTACTCTACACTACTCTACACTACACTACACTACACTACACTACACTACTCTACACTACTCTACACTACACTACTACTCTACACTACACTACACTACACACTACACTACACCACTACACTACACACACTACTCTACACTACACTACACTACTCTACACTACACACACTACACTACACTACATTAATTACACTACACTACACTACATTACATTACACTACACTACACTACTACTCTACACTACTCTACACTACTCTACTACACTATTCTACACTACTCTACTACTCTACACTACTCACTACACACTACACACACACTACATTAATTACACTACACTACACTACATTACATTACACTACACTACACTACACTACTACTCTACATTCTCTACACTACTCTACACTACACTACACTACACTACTACACTACACTACACTACATTACACTACATTACATTACTCTACACTACTCTACACTACTCTACTACACTACACTACAGTACTCTACACTACACTACACTACACTACACTACACTACACTACTCTACACTACACTACATTATCTACACTACACTACATTACATTACACTACACTACACTACACTATTCTACTCTCTCTACACTACACTATCAATTACACTACACTACACTACACTACTACACTCTACACTACACTACCATTACTCACACTACACTACATTACTCTACACTACACTACATTCTCTACACTACACTACATTACTCTACACTACACTACATTACATTACACTCCACTACACTACACTACACTACACTATTCTACACTACTCTACACTACACTACATTACTCTACACTACACTACACTACACTACACTACACTACACTACACTACACTACATTACTCTACACTACACTACATTACTCTACACACTACACTACATTACACTACACTACACTACACTACACTATTCTACACTACACTACACTACATTACACTACACTACACTACACTACACTACACTACACTACACTACACTACATTACTCTACACTACACTACATTACTCTACACTACACTACATTACACTACACTACACTACATTACTCTACACTACACTACATTACTCTACACTACACTACATTACTCTACACTACACTACATTACTCTACACTACACTACATTACATTACACTACACTACATTATTCTACACTACACTATTCTACCCTACTCTACTCTACACTACACTACACTACACTACACTACACTACATTACTCTACACTACACTACATTACTCTACACTACACTACACTACATTACATTACACTACACTACATTATTCTACACTACACTATTCTACACTACTCTACTCTACACTACATTACATTACACTACACTACATTATTCTACACTACACTATTCTACACTACTCTACTCTACACTACATTACATTACACTACACTACACTCAGGATATGAACACCTTGCTGCTTGATTCACAACTAAGTGTTGTAATGCCTCACTTGGGTGGTCTTACATAGTCTTTGGAAGAGAGGGTATGCCTAAGATAAGTTTAGGAATCAGTATTTGTCTTTTTTTCTCGGGGTTTGGATCCCATGGAGTTTGCCATGGCATGGTGGGTGATTTAGCCATTGTAAGTGGCAAATGCTTGGTGTATGTGTAAGGAGAAGGTATATGTGTGTTTCTGGACAACATTACGACAACACCTTTTGTCAGAGTTATAATGGATTTGACTTGAATTTGTGCGTTTTTGCTGACGTTTGATCTTACAAGCCAGCTTGTGACCTTCGCTTTTTTTGCTTGCAAGGTCATTTTAAAAACTGCTCCTAATTAAACAGATTTTATGGTTTTGGACAAATATTAAATGATTCAAGTCAGTCTTGTGGACCATACAGTACTTTATTGTTTCAAACTTCTTATAAGACCTCATGAGGTTACCTCTATAATGTGGTTGGGGCACATCTTGGTGGTCCATCAATGCTTGCAGTACACTACCTCAATTCTATAAGGACTGTATTTGTATTTCACCTTTTGAAGGCACTGGTTTCCCATGAACTCCCACTCTTCACATTGTACAGTTTCATCAGTGGAAAGATGTTCATGAACTGGCCAGAATTAAATCATATATGTTCAGTTTGACTGAAATTAGTGTCAATAATAAATCCCTAACCATCAAAAGTAAACCTCATGCTAATAACTCTTGTACTTCAAACTTAGTTCTGCCTATATTTGTTCAGAAACTTGTTATGTAATCATAGGGAGATTCTGGATTTTTTTATTGCTTTTTGTATGTAAATTAATTTGGAAATTGGTCTCTTAGGGCGTTATGGCTTGGAAGGAGCGCCCCCTGGACCACCCCCAGGTTTTGTACCTATTGGAGTGCCTCCCGGTCACCCACCCAACACAAATAGTCGAGAAATTGTGGCACCTCTACCACCAATGCCGCCACCACCTGTAGAAAAATCACAAGATGTACAAAGAGAAGGACATATTACCCACCAGTGCCCCGGGTCTACCACCAACAATGTTGCCGCCACCCTTCGGTCTCCCGAACATGCCACGTAAGCTCTCTCTCTCTCTCTCTCATATATATATATATATATATATATATATATATATATATATATATATATATATATATATATATATATATATATATATATATATATATATATATATATATATATATATATATATATATATATATACATACATACATACATACATACATACATACATACATACATGCATACATACATACATACATACATACATACATACATACATGCATACATACATACATACATACATACATGCATACATACATACATACATACATACATACATACATACACATACATACATACATACATACATACATACATACATACATACATACATACATACATACATACATACATACATACATACATACATACATACATACATACATATATATATATATATATATATATATATATATATATATATATATATATATATATAATAATAATAATTAACGGTTTTATTGAAAGAGCTTGGCAGCCAGAAGGCTGAAAATATACAGTTACATATTTGGGGAATGGAGTTCGCAATTACAAATAATATACAAAGTGACATAAGTGACACAAATAAGACATATGTAACTTAGATGGGGATCAGCTCAAACTACAGTTCATTTCAACATAGTGACAGTGTAGGGAGCAGTGTTTACTGTGAGTGAATACACTGATTTATTACATGTTATTGATAATTTTTAATGGTTGGGACTGGGCTGTTCTTATAGCGATCAGTTAAGTGCCGCGTATGGGCTGGATCTGGTTGTGGTGTCGAACAGCAATTCTCGGACAGGGATCTCAGGTGGTAGTAGGGGCGTGTCGGGGATGATGTAGAAGCTTCTTACCAAATTTGCAGATGAGGCCGTGGTGATGGTCAGTGAGAGTAGAAGGGTCAGTGTGTTGAGCACTTCTTGATATGTGGAGTAGGAAGGGGAGAGAATAATCTTGCATGCCCTCTTTTGCACTTTTCTAGGTGTTCGTTGTGTGGCATTTGGGAGGAAGACCAGGTGGGGAGGCATGGGTGAGCTTGGGAAGTATGAATGTTGTGTATACACTGTGAGAGCTTCGTGTCGGGAACTCCGAGGGACAGTCGGCGGAGGAGGTGGAGACGGAAACTGGAGGATTTGACAACTTCACTGACGTGTGGTTTCCAATTTAGTTTGTTGTCTATGGTGACCTCGAGGAGCTTCGTGGAATCTACAACCTGGGTGTGTTCGGACCTAGGGTAATGGAAGGAGGTGGGACAATGTCGGAGGAGAGGTTGATGTGCATAACCATGGTCTTGGTATGGTTGATGGTGACATGGTTGTTGGTGGCCCAGTTTTGGAGACTGGTCAATAAATCCTGAAAGGGCGGTATAGTTGGGAGCAGAATTGTTGACGCTGATCCCAATGGTGGAGTCGTCGATATTTCCAGCGTGCTGGTGGACGCCACGGTGAGTGACTGAAAGGTTGAGACAGCCCCTCGAAGCGCACAGCTTACGCGGTCACTGAGGAAGTCTGTCATGGTATGAGACTTCTCCCGAGGTCAATAGCTTTGTTTATGATTATATTGTATCGCATTTAGGTCTAACGCTTTAGTGAAATCATGAAGTACAGCTACAGACGTTTCGCCGAGATGGCGGTATATGTAACGAGAAAGCTGACAAGACAGTGAGTGGTGGAGGAAGTTTTCATGTTGCCAAATTGCTGAGGGTCTACGACTCCTGCAATATCAGCATAAGCCCAGTCAAACACAAAACTTTCACAGATTAGGCTGGGTATTGGGGGATTGCAATAGGTCGTAGCTGATTTAAGGATTGTGGGCTGGTTGACTTGGGCACTGGTGATACATAAGAGGTCTTCCAGTCAGCTGGGCATCTGGCTTGACTGAGAGAAGCATTGATGATGGAGCAGAGGGTTTAGCAAGCCCGGGAGAACTCCTTGAATAGTTTCATTGGTAAGTCAATGGGGTAGACGTTTTAATTTAGTTTGTCCAGGCGCTTTTGCTACGTCAAATTCCTCTACTAAGTCAGTGGGAAGGGGGCTGGTAGGTAAGCAGGAGAGTGGTTGCAGTCGTGGGAGCCGCCTGGCATATAGTAGCGAAATGGTTATTTGTTTGCTCAGCTGCGTCAACATTAGTGAGATGGCTAAGGAAGGAGGGGTTGTCTTATTGTTTAGTCCACAGAGTTCTTTAAGCTTACCATACCATTGACTGATGTTGGTCTGCTTCAGGTGTTGTAATTTGGTTGGGTAGTGGGACTTCTTTAAACGATTGATGTCTTGGGCGGTGACCTGTAGCGGATGTGGTCATTGAGATGAAAGGCTCTGTCTCTGTTGCATAAGTCTTTTGATCCGAGGTGTGATCCAGGGCAAGTCAGCTGGGTGAGATCTTGACGGACTTCTCGGGAAGAAGTGGTGGTGAGCCGTGGTGGGGTATAATTTATCCATTTATCCATTTATCCATTTGGTCTTCTGTGTGTGTGTGTGTGTGTGTGCGTAGCGTAAGGCATGCATGCGCGGCGTGCAGATAGAACCCTCACTTTACGCTGTTAATTCAACCCACAGGGTAATCGCAGAAAGTGAGAAACGCGTAAAGTGAACAACATAACATATGGGATTAATTGAAATAGAGACGGGCCGAATCCCCAAACTCCACTTTTTCAGACACAATACCTAATTGTAGTAAAAATAACTTCTTAATTTTTATGGTATGCACAACAATTAATAATTAAGAGAAATATCAATAATATTAGGTTTTTAACACTTACATTAGTAGAAAAGATGGCTGGGCACACGGGATGGGGGTTGGTTCCGAGGCAGAGGGCAGATTATTGGCCCTCACCTGTATCACTTGTATCAATTGTATCACTATCCACCACAGAGGCTTGCAGGGCCTCTTTGTCAAACCCTCAAAGTCCATATAAGTCCATATCCTCACTATAATTATCACTATCACTGACTTGGGCTGTGGTGGGTGCGGGTGAAGAACTCGGTAATGTTTTGATGACTCACCTTAGGCGCTGTCACGCAGCTACACAACATGGCGGATGGTGGAGAGATGGCGGAGGTTTGATCCAAAATGGCGAGGCTCGCCAGCCGCCTCCGCTGAAAGGGGTACACGCATCATGAATGTGAGCATTCGGTTTCGCAGGGTACCGCGTAAACGTGGGACCGCGGAATGTGGGACCGCGTAGCGAGGTTGACTGGGAAGATGGTTTGTGTCCATTATTTGAATGGACATTAACCTGGCGACTGTATTTCTCTTAAATATTAATTGTGTGAGCATACCATCATAAAATTTAGATGTTATTTTTACTACAACATAGGTATTGTGCCTTATTGGAATTAATCCCATCTGTTGTTCACTTTACGCGGTTTTCACTTTCCACCTTACCCTGTGGGTTCAATTGACCGTGTAAATCGGGGTACTACTGTATATATAAATGTAAAAGATCTGTGTACTTTTGCTGCCCTCCCTAAAAACCCTGCCCCCATGTCTTATTACCATATACCTGTGTATAGTTCGAGGTTTAAGACTAAATTATTTGGCAGAAAATTGGGGCCTAATTTCAAACGGGTAATAGTTTCATGAGGCTGAAAAATATTTACCAGTAACTACCAGTAAACAATGGAACGACCAAGCACCACCAGCTGTGGAGGTCGGGTATGTTGCCAGGGCAGATTTCTTTAAGGCCATCATAGCAAGCCCAGTAGCCAAATGCATGGTATGGTATGCACAGGACGATGTGTAAAAACATAAAGTATTCATTTTAAAGTTTATTTATAGATACTGTACATAAATTCTTGTTCATTACATTTGAAACATCAATCTTGTTAATTAAATTTGAAACAAAGAAAACTACGACACCGTATTTCTAAATACCGGGTATTTTCATTAAACGTTACATCACAAGTATATTTTACCTTAACTGTGACTGAATGAATATATTCTCGTGAAATAAATATGGAATTGTAATATTTTGCTGAAAATGACCCACGACATACAGTCGTAGTGGATAAAAATTATGACGAAAACAATGACTTTCGCTTGTTGTTCAAAAGATTTTACCGTGGAACAAACCTGTACTGTACATGTACTGGAATGATTACGTAGTTAAATTGAAAGAGGTTCGTAAATATAGATTGTTTGAGAGGTATTCAAATAACCTTATCTTACAAGAATCCCAGCAATGTGTTATATTCACCAGGTCATTTGGGTGGCAAATTGCGAGAAGAGCTTAGTCACTATGAATAATAAATAAACAGTAAGCCTCAGCTACTAACTGTCACATCTTATCTCAAATAAATAAACAAACACCACACTCTCACTCCCACCTCCACCTCCCTCCTGTCCCCCCCCATGCTGGCTACCTCCCTCCTTGTGTTCCCAGACAAAAGATTGGTGATAACTTTCTATTCTTTAAGGTGTTTATTTTATATAATATCTCAGACTGAAGTTAGGAGATTATAATTTGCATTGCTGGAATCCTTGCAAGACAGCCAATAATTTGAACATAAACTTCATATATTTTGCTCAAGATTTAAAAATGTAGTACATTAGTGTATAATACTGTGTAGTACATTTTATAATACAGTATAAAGTTTTCAACTGTATTTTGGGGGTAGATTTACATAAATTCTCTTTCTTATTTATTTTCATCCATTTACATGCACACAATAATCAAGACTAAAAGAAATAAATGACCTTAGTGCAAAGTTGAGTGTACATGTACTAATTTCATTACGGTACTAAAATTTTTATGTCTAGTCTAAATTAGAAAGATAAGCTGTTATTCAACATCTTGTTGAAGAATCCCAGCAATGCTAATTATATTCTCCTGTTTGGTTTCACTGGTATTTTAAAATGAGAGAAGCCGTGAGTAGGACTGTTAAATAAACACACAGAGACCTTCGCCCAAACTGTCAAACATATCACCTCAACCCCCCACCTCGCTGGCTGGCTCCGCCCTCCCTCATCTGCTTAGCTGGGGGTTTATTAGGTTTACAGTTTTTATCTTATACAATATCTCAGACTAATGTTAGAGATTATAATTTGCATTGCTGGAACTCTTGCAAGACAGCCAATAATTTGAATATAAATGTCATATATTTTGCTTAAGAGATAAAAAAATTGTTGCACATTAGTGTTTAGTACTGGTCTTCAGTTAAAAAACTGTTGTATTACAACAATATTCCCTCTCCTAATTTGACTTGAATAAATACTTGAATGGAAATATACAATATTTTTTATTGAAACTAATAAGGCTTTCAGTGTAAAGTGCTCAGATAATAAATGTAAAACAATTTGCTCGCACTCTGTGTTTAGGCACGGCAGCCTCAGTTTATAGGAGGCAGAGTGTTTTACTGGAGGTTTTGTTGTTCCAATACTCTCAAAAATCCTAGTCGACCTATAAACAAGGAGTATCATAAATTAACGATTTTTGGTAAAAAATCAGGGTTGACCACAATGCTGATGTCAATGCCGTGGTTACTGCGAGAATGACTGGAGTGAGGGAGCTGGGTGTATATGGTATGTGTCACAAGGCGATTCAATGTACTTCACCATTTCCAATGTACAGGAATATTCTCCGTAAGTAATCCGTGATATTTATATCCTCGTATGCTAAACCCGCGTATGTGAAGGGCCAACTGTACTACTGTACTCTATAAATTTCATCCGTTCCTTTAAACAAATTAATGACGATTCCCGTTTTCCAATATACTCTTGGGCCGTCGTCATGAATGAGAACTAATTCTCCAACGTCCGGCCAGTCGGCTTTGGCACTCCTTTGTTTGTCCGGATCTTAATGTTGTTAATTATTCATTGGACCAACGACACCACAAATAACTGCTCGACTTAGAAATATATTTGTATCAATACTTTTTGCTTATGCTTCTGTTATAATGAACAGTTGTACATTATTTGAGAAAAAAATATTACCACACATTCTAGATATTTGATTTACTTTAATCTAGTAATAAAAAAATCTTATTCAGGACATTCATTATCATCATTAACCTTCTGTACTGCTACTTATTTGTTCAAGGAATGCCTGTACTTATAAATGTGGGTCTTAATATGGTAAAACTCGTGCTTTCTTACCAGAAAATCAGGTGTTGATATGTTCATGAGATTCGTTTATACAGTTGGTGGAATGTGAACCACAATAGATTATGTTATTATTATTATTATTGTTGTTGTTGTTGTTGTTGTTGTTGTTGTTGTTATTGTTATTATTGTTATTATTATTATTATTGTTATTATTATTATTATTATTATTATTATTATTATTATTATTATTATTATTATTATTATTATTATTGATAGTGGTGGTGATAATGCAAAACTTTTGTTTGAAGACCCCCATTAGTGTGAGAACATTATACTTAATTGGAAGTTTTGAAAAGGTTCTTAGTAACCCATTTACCCATTTCTCACTTAGCTGAATAAATCACAAGTAATATTATTGTTTATCGACAGCGCCTCAGGTTGGTCACGGTCACGGTCATGGTCATGGTCATGGTCATGGTGGGATGCCTCCACTTCCTCAGGGCTTTGTACCACAAAACCTTCCTCCTATGGGAGTACCACCACCATTAGGCCTTCCACCACTGGGTGTACATCCACCAGTATCTTCCATCTTAGGGCAGCCTCTCATAGGTGCCATGCCACCACCAGTCAGCATGGCTCCCAGCATGCCAAACAGACCCATGAGTAAGTTATTATACTACCAGTACAGTACTGTAACATGATTGTGGCAGTATGGTACAGTACTCTACAGTATGTCTCAATTTTACACTTGCTTAAAGGGGTAACAAAAATTAAGATTTTTAGTTTTATACACCTTTTTGCTGTATAATTTAATTATTCATATGAGATGGAATAACAAAATTATGAATATGTATAATCTCTCTATTTATGCTGTAAAGGCTCTTTAATGTAGACCTTTTGTATCCAGATTTGTTTATGTGTGGACTGAATGATGGCAGCAAAGTGTAGTTCCTCCCACTGTACTGATGCTCTCCCAAATGACTCAATAAATTAACTCATAAATTGTCAAATCATGTACAGTATAGTAGATAAATCCAAGTTCAGACTTAAGGTATAAATAAAAAAAGTAAATATAATTGATGGTTGTGTTTTGTCTCAAGCTTATATTGTAGTTCATGGTAAGGATACAAATAATGAATTGTAGTTCTCCAGTTGGGAAATGACATTAATGTACCATTGGGATGTAAATAAACACAAAATAGTTAACATGAAAGGATTTAGAATATCCAGTTGATGGTCAAGTATTTGTAAATGGTGACTTATATAGTTGTCCATTTATGTAAGTACTGTACAGGGTGCTTACAATTTAGAGGAACTGTGTGATATTAGGTAATTACTGTTTTAACATAGTGTAGTATGCCTGCAGATTGTACAAGTATTGAAGTTTAGTGGGCAGTAAACCTTTTTGCAAACACATTGGTGTATACTGTAGGTCCATTTATTTGTTTTGTAGTTCAGTTATGTTTAATATAGTAAATGATAAATGTTAACTTTGCAACACTTACCAATAGAAGACAGAGATGTCACATGATCCAGTGATGATGTCAGAGATGGGTAGGGAACAGCGGTGGTTACTCTTCAAGTGTAAAACCAGTACAGTATGTCCTTGCGTAACTCAGAGGTATTTTACCCCTTCCCTGATGGTGAGGATCTGAATAACTATAAACAAGGCTTTGTGTGTGTGTGTGTCTGTGTGGAGGAGGTATAATGTTATGCCTACAAGTATATGATAACCCAAATAATTCATTGAGTCCAGTATTGACAGAACTTAGCAAGTGGGAGTACAGTGTGTTGTGATATATTGTACCATACTTTCAGGGATTTTCAGGTTGAGATAAAATACCATAAGTACGATAAGAATCTAAAAGATACAGTCGGTTAGGTTAGGTGTAAGTCCTTGAGAAAAAGGTTTGGGTGTATATAATTCTTTTGCTCTGTATAGTACTGTGTTTCAGCATCGCACAGCTCTCAAGTGTTTTCAAGTGGTAAGTTATTTTAACATGATTAGGTTTAGGTCTTGAGGCCGTTGCAATAACATGATCAGCATATCTTCCCTTGTGGTAAATGAGTACAACAGTGAGGTCATGCTTTCCCAGTGATTATCCTATTCTTGTAGATCATTGCTGCCAGCATTGTGTTAGCTAAGCATCAGACAATATATTGCTGTAGGAGAATAATTAAAAAGTAGTTTTCATGGATGCTGGTTGGTTCCTGGGCACAGTTGTGTCCATGGTAATAAAAAGTTTGATTTCTAAATAACAAATGGGTAATGGCTAGTTTGAATACTGTACAGTTGTGAACAATTTCAGTATGAATCACATAATTATAGTTCTTGCTATTGGTTTGTACCTAAAACAGAGTCCATTCTATATTTCTAGTGCCTCCCGGAAGTGAAATGCAGAATAACATAAACTCTGCTCCAATAACGACAATGGCTAATAGTGGCCACATGGTGAACAGCAACTCCCACTCACACGACTCCAATGACATGGACATTGAGATGGAAGATGTAGACAAAAATGACATGGGGTGAGTAGTGTAGTACAGTGTAGTGTAGTGTGACTCATGATTTGCAGCACTGAATCTTTGTTTGGTTTTGCCGTTTTCATGGATGCGTCTCGGGGTTCGCGGATGATAAGGATACTGCAGATCCCGAATGACCTGAACTGCAGACAGCTTTGGGGTTACTCCTGTATGATGTCCTGTACACGAGTGACACCTTGGCTCGTGGTAACTCGTGGTCTCCCAGTATGAGGCTTGGTATTAAGAGAACCCCCACTACCACCGTTGAATCCCTCTGTCGACGGTCACCGCTTAGGCACCTGTCACAATGGCAATTTTTCCTGACAGCTCTCCACTGTCCCACATCCCGATGATTCGTCACCGGGTAGCAGTTGATGTCCTCTGTTTGTCTCGCTGCCTTGACTAAATGGATGGAAAATCCGACATGAAGTGACAACATACTGTAATAATTTTCAGAGATGTTTGGAAAAAAAAAAAGCATTAGCACATATAACCACATATTAAACAAGTCCTTATTGAGGGTCATTACCTCTCACCCTCACTCTCTCTTAGCTTCTCTTTCTCTCTTATCACCTGTACTTTGTTTCCAGGTAACATCTCTCTTATGTAGCATTAACTTTATCATATGGCATCTTCCTTATTTTTAAACAAGCAAATAAATACCCACACACACACTCACACACACTACTACTACTTTGCTGTCACTCAGTATCGAGTATGACGTTCATCCAGCTATGATAAAATGGTATGAGTTACTTAGGATGTCATCTTTGTTGGCGAGTTCTGAGGTGACTAGAGAGGTTATTACGGGACCGGCAGGGTCGTCCACAGATGTTGCACATGTGTTGGGCTACATCTAGTGCAGGAGGGGTGGCGGCAGCGTCTTTCCGGCGTTGGCGCTTATCTGCCTCGATTTGCAGTCAGGCTAACTCAAAAGTATTGACACCTTCTCGTGTGAAGCTCCTCCAAGCATTATGGTGTGGAGTAATCGTCTCCCAGGTGAGGGGGGTCGATTTGGCACATTTTCAGGTTTGTCTTAAAACTATCCTTATACCTTTTCATTTGCTCGCCAGTGTTACGTTTGCCATTCGTTAAGTGACTGAAAAGTACCTGCTTTGGCAGTCTACTGTCATCCATGCAGGTAACATGGCCAGTCCATGGATAATGGTAGCCTCGATGATCCTACAATTGGTGTCAGCGAGAATACTGGCATTTGTTCTCTTGTCTTCCAAACGAACTCGGAAGATGGAACATAGACTGTGTTGGTGAAAGGTTTCAAGTGCCTTGAGGTGTCTCCTATAAGTGACCTATGTCTCACTGCCATATAGCAGGGTGGGTAGGACCACTGCTTGATATATGTGCAACTTTGAAGATAATTTCAGCTCCCTACAGCTGAAGACATGGGTGCGGAGTCTGCCAAAGGCTTGAGACGCACATCTGTTACAATGTTGAATCTCTTCATCGATGTCTGCGGTGGTGGATAGGTGGGAACCGAGATACTGATAGTGGGTAACATTAGAGAGGGTAATAACTTTAACCTGGATGGATGGTGGAGGTGTGGTTGAACCAGGGGCAGGTTGAAAGAGAATCCGAGTCTTATATACATTCACCTCAAGACTGAAGTGTACATACGCATCTGCGTAGGTGTTCAGGATCTTCTGTAGGCTACGTTCAGTGTGAGCGACAAGGATGAAGTCATCTGCATGCTAAAGTTAAATATGGAAGCTGCCAACACCTTTGTTCCTGCCTGGAGTTGCCTTATGTTGAAAAGACCCTTCACCCGTTACTCGATGTTCACCCCACCAGTAAAATTAGCACTGGCATGAGTAAGGAAGGCAGCCAAGAAAATGGAAAAGAGAGTTGGGGCCAGTACACACCCTTGTTTTACCCCCCTTTTGGATGGATGCCGTTGTGCAGGTCACTTCCATTCATGCCATCGTGGAGTTGCCTCACAAAGGAGATGAATTTTGGTGGGCAGCCAAACTGGCTGAGGGTCTGCCAGAGGGCTTCCATTTTGACCGAGTCGAAGGCCTTGGTTAGGTCGATGAAAGCCATGTACAGGTTACGATGCTGTTCTCTGCACTTTTCCTGTATCTGGTGGACAGCAAAGATCATGTCTGTGGTATCACATGATGGTCTAATGCCACATTGAGATTCTGATAGGAAGTTTACTGCCTCAGGAAGACGTCTGTTTAGGAGGACTCGAACGTTAATCTTGCCAGCTATGGACAGCAGCAAGATCCCACGGTAGGTGCCACAGTCTGACTGGTCTCCCTTGTTCTTATAAATATTGACAATGGAGGCGTCTTTAAGAGCTTGGGGGATTTCCTCCTTTTCCCATATATTCTCTAGGAGAGAGTGGAGATGGCTAGTAAGCAAAGATCCTCCTGCTTTATGCACCTCAGCTGGGATTCCATTAGGCCCTGAGGTTTTGTTGTTTTTCACCTGTTTTAATGGCAGCTACCTCATCCAGGGATGGAGGATAGCTGAGGTGGGTCAGCTCTGAATGCTGAGGGACCTGCTGGGTAGTCAGGACATCCACATTGGTGTTTTGGTTGAGCAACGAATGGTAGTGCTCTTTCCAGCGCTGGCGGATGCCTTCTTCGTCTTTAATTAGGGAGTTACCGTCGGATGAACGGAGGGGGCTGCGCCAGAGTGATTGTCCCATAAAATGTTTTGGTGGAATACAAAATTCACGCATCTTATGTTGATCTGCAAGTTTTTGCATTTCGCATGTTTTATTTTTAAACCAGTCGTTCTTTAGTTTGCGAAGTTGCGCTGGGCCACCGCTTTCTTCTTGCAGAAGTTATCAGCTTTGGTCAGTTAAAGCAGCATGTTTATCATCAACGAGTACATTGACTTCCGGGTCTTTTTCATCAAACCAGCCCTGGTGTATTCTTTCAATCTGGCCGTGGGTTTCTCTGCAGGTTTTTGTCATGACATTGTCGAGAATACCCCATTCAGCACTGGGATTTGGGTTTTTTGTTGTCAGATTGTTTAGCAGCCCATGTTCGAGCTGCTCTCTGAAAACATGTGCTACCGCTGGATCCTCCAGACTGTGTTAAAAGTTCTTCTGGAGGCTTGTTGCCTTCGTCGTTTTTGGGGCGACGTGAAGTGAGAGCTTGGCTCTGATGAGCCGATGATCAGTGTCACAGTGGTCTGAGCCACACATGGCACGGGTGATGAGGACATCTCAGTAATCTCTTTCTCTGACAATGATGTAGTCAATGAGATGCCAGTGTTTGGATCATGGGTATTGTCACGATCCCTTAAATTTGTCAGCTTGCCTAAACAAGGTATTGGTGATAGTGAGGTTGTGTGCAGCACACTTGCTGAGGAGGAGTAGGCCATTGGGTTTACACTTGCCTAGCCCATTTCTCCCTATGATTCCTTGCAAATTGTCAGCATCTCTGCCAACTCTGGCATTGAAGTCACCAAGAAGCGCAACTTTGTCTTCACTGAGGATAGAGGTTAGCACTCTGTCAAGGTCGGTGTAAAAGGCCTCCTTGATGTCATCCAGTGTTGGGGCGTATGCACTGATGAAAAAGGCATAACGTGAGTGATTCACTGGGACTCAGAGCATCATGAGGCACTCGTTGATCCCAACAGGCATTTCAGTTAGCCTGTGTAGGATGGATTGGTAGATGACAAAGCCAACTCCATAAATGTGGTTTCTCTCCGCAGCAAGTTTACCCTTCCTGAAGAAGGTATAGCCAGACTCCCGTTTTGTGAGTTGACCCTTGTCTGGGAGCCGGGACTCACTAATGGCTGCTATATCAATGTTATACATGGACAGCTCTTTTGCCACAAGGGCGGTTCTTCTTCTAGGACGCTCATTTGTGCCAGTATCCAGAAGGGTCTTGACATTCCATGTAGCGACCATAAGAAGTTACATAGTTTATTTTTGTTTTAATCTGGGATTATAGTTGTGTTTTCGACCGCATAAGGATGACCTTACTGGGTGCGGTTGCCCAGTAAGGTTGGAATTTTTAAGCAGGCAATGTTTAGGGCACATTTTCTAGCCCCCTACCCATGTGGGGTAAGCAGAGTGGCTCCTGGAAAGGGCTGCGCAGTCGCACAGACAGAAGCGGATTGCATTGCTGCCTTGATCCCAGTGCATGAACGACCATCTTATTTGTGCCGCCCATGTGACTAGAGACTTCTGGAAGTCATCTCTGCCTGTCCTTGTCGCCACACCGTCCGTCACCAAAAAACTTTGGGGGTATAAGGGATTGATGATGATAAGGAGTATGATGAGCTGGATGATGGCTGCACTTGAGTTGATTTATGTGGTGAGGCAGGAGCACAGAGTGCAACCACACATCTTGGCTCTCCCTTTTCCTGATCCATTGGTGCAAGTGTTGCAACCACTGGGTAGAGGGAGAGTTGCAATGGACTGCCGATAGCCCAGTTTGTTGGGTTTCGCCTTAGTATGTAGCCTGTCCATCATGCATTGCCCTCATCCGCTGGTGTAGTCGTTGGGTTCCCATGTTGGTCACTTCTTCTGCCTATACCACCATTGGGGTCTTGTTGAAGCTCTGTAGCGGGGCAGCGGTTGGTAGGCGCCAGGACGTGTCCACTTGCCAGTGGGGCTATGCACCATTCCCCTGGGGCCGACTTCTACTTCAAGATTCCCTGCTGGTATAGCTCCTGTGTGTTGCCACGAGGAGGCACAGCAAGAGTCTTGATGGTGAAGAGGCTGTGTACTGGCAGGGGAAGATTTATGCAAGTTGCTTCCTTGTTTGCCACGAGGGCTAGCCAGCTGCATTAGCTGAAAGCGAGAGGAAGCAAGCAATGTTTGCATCTTAATACTAACATAATACTGCGACACTAGATGCATTACACCATACTGTGCACACACACACACCAGCTCCCTCACTATCTGGCCACCCACACTGATGATTCACTTGTCCTAACACCAGACAAGGGTCCCAGACGCACTTAACACCTTATGCCCCGGGTGACGTTCCAGAACGTCCGCCTATTTTCCCGCCATATTTTTTTTA